GTTATGCAGGGCTTGGGGGCAGGGAAAATGCATTTTTGGCATCTCGTAAAGCTAGCTAGTAAACAGGTGTCCTATAAAAAAAAATAAATGGATCATGAGCATACATCTGCACGGAGAACCCAAGTGTCTTTAAATTATTTCGGCGATTACGGACTACAAACGTTGTATAAAATTATTCTATGTCCTTACAAAAATGCAATGAAACGTTGAATTAGTTCTTGTAAACCAGATCTTCGTCGACTGACTACCCGTATCTACTGGACATGAGAGCCCTACTGAAAATGCTAATGTGTGAGTAATTAAAACGATGCTGACCAGAAAAATGAGGACACACACCAACGTGGCCATACGGATGAGTAATCAAAACAACAACAACAAAAAATAGATGAGTAATCAAAAAAACCAACAAAAAAAATTATAGATGAGTAATCAAAAAACCAACAAAAAAGTATAGCTGAGTAATCAAAAAAACCAAAAAAATATAGATGAGTAATCAAAAAAACCAACAAAAAAGTATAGATGAGTAATCAAAAAACTCAAAAAAATATAGATGAGTAATCAAAAAAAAACCAACAAAAAATATAGATGAGTAATCATATTCTTGCTTAAACGACAAAAAGAAAACCCTAAAGTCATGCCCCAGAACCGACCACTGATGGGCGTGACGTGGAGTCCGTGTCCTCCGATGAGTGGACTGAACTCCGAAGTCACAGTCCCCCACGCAGGGCGCCGGGGTGTCCGCTGAAGACAAATGCCCATGGATGACTCCCGAGCCCGGACCTGGTCTGACGCCTTCAGGAAACCGTCCATCTCAGAGTGCGGCCCGCACTGCTTCCCGGCCCTGGGCCCTGGCGCTCGCCATTCTTCTCTCCGCCGGCTCGGCTCTTCCCACCATCAAGGAGCGTCCATCCGCTTTTTCTCCGCAGGACCGGCTCTGTCATCCGAGCTGGGGGCCAGGCGTGACCCCCTCTGGCCTGTCCTCTGTATCTTCGGCGTCTCCAGCAACAGAGGGGTTCGGTCCAAAGCTGCATCCTTTCTCAGTCTCATTTGCAGCGACTGTGTCCCGCCTGGAGCGAGGACGTGGGCCTTTCATCGCTGCTTCTTTCGAAGAGCGGGTCTCCGGTCCGGATCTCCCGGCGGCGCTGCGGGGCCCGGGAGACGGTGCGTCTGACTTGGGGAGGAGTTGCCTTCCATCCTCTGACCGCTCGGGGACGACCTTCTCTTGCCGGTCGGCGGTTCCACCAGAACCGCTCTTTTCCCCACGCCGCTTCTCTGACCTTGGAAACCTCGTTCGCGCCACGAGACGGGCTGGAAGGGGAGGCCAGCGTTGGCCGTGAACCCCGTCTTCTCGCCTCCTCCTCCTCCTCCTCCAAGGAAGCTCATCTCAACTGTGTGTCCAAGGTCACGACACCCCGTAAAGGAGACCTGGGTGGCCGGGGCCTCGCCAGCGTCTCCAGGACAAAAAAAAATGGCGGACGCTCACATCGGCTCCATGATGCGCCTCCGTGGTCCGTGCGGCTTCGAGCAGCGGGAGCTGCTGGCGGGAGGAGGCCGCGTGGGAAATGCCCCAGTTCGGCTCGAGTGAATGATTCGGAGCGTAAGAAAGAGAAAAAAAACAAAAAAGGGGAGGCGGGGACCCCGGCCTCGCGGGCGGGTCCCGGGGTGGCTTGGTCCAGTAGGATGACCGCATCCTCACGCAAGCAAGCGTTTGTTTCTCTAACTGCAGCGCCGCGGAAGCCTTGGTTACGATGCGCACTACGACTGGTTAGTGTTTGCTTTCTACTCAAAGAAAAACCACCGACGTCAAACGATAACATGACCACACCAACAGCTCGGACGCGTGGAACGAGAGAGACCCTTGGGACCGCCTGGATGGACTGGACGGGTCCAGTCGTGGGAACCGGAAGGTATGTGCAAAAGAGGGGAGGCCACCAACCCGGGGGGTTCCCCGGCAGCGTGGGTGAGGGGAACCCCCATCAGATAGCATTTCTCGGTGACCTCGAGGTCCCAAGGGCGTAGGGAGAGGGGAGGGGTGTCCCTGCGGGAGGGAGGCTTCCCCCCGAGTCGTGTCGCCCAGATCACATCACCAGGGCCTGAGAGCAGCTGTTGGAACCGGGTAACGCCATCCACCCCCGTGAGCAGCGGGACAGAGGGACAGAGGCAAGGCCTGGTGGGAGCTGCGACACCCCGACACCCCAGAAGGCGGCTTGGCGCCTAGCACCGCCCCCCTCCAGCCCGAAGGCTTGGTACATCTTCGTCTCCCCCTGAAAGGGAGGAGGAAAGGAGGGGGGAATTCAGAGAACATTTTGGAGACCGGGGGGACGGGGACTTTTCTCCACAGAACATTCTGGAAGGGATTGGCTGGGAGGTAGGGACCTCCTATTCTCGACAGGAGGCCTGGAGGACGGGGCTCTCCGAGTGCCTGGCGCACAGGGACCGTCTGGCCACCTGGCACAGGCCCCGTCCAGGGCCCCCACCTGTGCCTAGCAGGTGGGAGCTAACAGAGACGGCCGCCCCTGGCCGCCTCCTGGCCCCTAAATCCCGAAACCACTGCTCCAGGGACGGAATGGGCTCGCCATTCCGTCTGCACAAAGCAACTGGGTTCAAGGACAACCGGCTGGGACAGCCGAGGGGCCTTCCTTCCCACTGAGCTGCTGGGGGGTGGGAGGGGGGTTCCCTCACCTCCCTGCTGAGTGGGGGACACTGGGCCAAGAGGGGGGAATCCTGACACCTCACAACCTCGTAGGGAACCGAGTCAGAAGAAGAAGAGAGCAAGGCCAGAGGAGACAGCGCAGGGAGAGGCAAGCCGTTGGACAGGAGCGGAGAGGCGGGGAAGCGCAGCTGCGGCCCCGGAATGCAGCCTGGCCTGGCCCCGGTCACGGGCGTGCTCGGCCTGTGCGTGGATGAGGTACCGGTACCCATGGCGTATTGTCAGGTGCTGAGAAATGTGAGATGTATTCCTTGTTGTATATACACATATAAAAAAGAAGTGTGAGGTAGATACATGTTTGAAAAAAAAAATAAAAACCCCCCAAAATAAAAACTGTCCCTTCTTACGCACACAGAAACCCTCCTGTCAGTATCGAAATCCATCAGGGGGCTGAGCTGCTCTCACAGCGGCTGAAACCGGAATCAGAAATCAAACGGAAGCTCCTACATACACCTTCTCAACGAACCTTTCTCTTTGACGCAGTGTCTTAAGGGGAAAAAACTGTGGGGACGGGGGGGCTAGAGACAATCCTGGGGCTGAAACGACTCCCAATTTTCCTTCTTGTGTTTCATCTCCAATCCCGACTAGCCATCACCCGACTTGAGCTTTGTCCTCACTCATCACTTAAACGTTTCCATCCCAGAAGCAACTCTGTGCCGTCATATGTCAATCGCTCTGGTGAGAAGCGCTAAAAAACCAACAAAACAAAACAAAACAAAAAACCGAAACAAAAGACGCCGGGGCCCTGAGGACTCGTTTCCCGGCCCAGGGCAAGCGTGCCAGGGCCCTGGTCCCCTGGGGTGAGCACGGGGCTCCTGGGCCATTGGGGGCGCTGCCCCAGCCTGGCCCTCTCCCAGCAGCCCCTGGCGCCCCGTGCGGAGGGGGGGTCCCTGGGGGTTTCCTGGTTCTCAGGACAGACAGGTAGGTCGGTCTGGAGGGTGGCGGCAGCGGCACGCCACTGACCACACTCCA